ATTTATTTATTTATTCATTTGAGATCAACTGTCCATTTGAGGTATGATGTTGACTAACTTCTTATTGGACTTTTTATCCTTAAATCACACTGACGAAATAAACATTCTATCATTGTCAAATTATCAAGATGTTGTGATGGAAGATCTATCAACAGAAGCTATAGTTGGAAAACTAGAGCATGGTGCATGGAATTTTACAGTGCAGGATATAGTTGTCTTCCTCCTGGGTCCTATCTATTACCATCAGTAGGAAAACTGTTCACAAATGACGGGTTGGTTGATTTCTATGTTTCTAGTGAGCAATGGGCTGTCAAATTATTAATAGGTGGCAGCAGGGTTGGCAAATGAGCAGTCCATTGATGGTCTATTGGTGATCCATTGGTCCATTAGTGTAATATTTAGTATTTTATTAATGGCAATGGACCAGTCCAAAATCCATCAGTTCATTAATTTGCCAACCCTGGGTGGCAGTGCTATGAAAGAACACATTAGAAGATTTGAAGATGGTATGTTTCTCTTGATTGATGTTTGGCTTTTTATTAGATATAATTATCTAATTGTTAAAAAACTAGGTGGCTCATATTCAAAAATCCCAATTAAATCTCACTTAATATTGGATATCAGAGAAAAAAAATCACCTTCAAAAACATATGCATATTCTTCCAAATACTGATTCCAAAATATTCCGTGTAGTAAATAGCAATCAAGAAGAGTTTTCTATAAATGTGGATTATATTGATGTTGATGAAACAACTGCAAAAAAAGAAGACATAACATGAATCAAAGAAATCTCAATGATCTGACAGATTCGTTTCAAGGAAACCATGAAAGTTGTAGTAGGAATTTACAAGAGTTAATAAAGCTTTAAAATCCAATGAAAAAGATTCAAGAAGTAAAAGTAATGAAGGTGCTAACATTTGCCAAAATAAATTTGACAATGCTCAAAACTTTTAATACAAATTCTAAATGAGAATATTGGGAGACAACTTGGTATTGATGGTGTTCAGTGTATAAAATTCAATGTCCGCAATGACCGGGTGTAACGTCATACATTAATATAATTCTGCAGATAGTTTCTAAAATTTGTAAAATGGCTTCTAAATTTGTACTAGTTACACAGTGAATTTTATATATATATACACTGATTACGTTCTTTGATAATAGTATAATAATCATTTGTGATAAGGAAATTCATCTACTTGGCCTTTTTGATGGCTATCTTGCCTCAACAGCAACTAAATCGAGGCTTCAATTATTGAACCTCATATCAAGTATGCATTCTAAAGTAGTAACATGCTTTTAGCATGATTATTATGAGTTCGAATAGTGTTTTAGGAATATGGAATGTGAAAACAGGCAAACATACCTGTAACTTATCAATAGGATTTGGCAATGGATGATTTATATTTATATATGTATGCATATACATATTTAATATTTGCACACGCATATATTTATTTTATTAATTATATATATACAGTATAGTTAGAAGATTAGATTCAATGAATGTTATTGCATTGTTGCTGTGGAGGGAAAAGGTTATAGAATTTGGCTGCAAATGTTTGATTTTTGATGTTAATATATATATTAATTGGAAATTTATGTGCCGTCTATGTTAAATGAGTATCATTGATGAAAAGGGCTTGGAATATTTGTGATAATGATTGATTATCAATGCTTGAATTTCAACAATACAATATGATTATCATTTTCAAACAATCTAATATTTCTTGCATACTTGTATGTTTTTTTTATTATAAAAAAATTAATCCTTTTCAAATTAATTCCATTTATTATTAAAATTTGGAAAATGAACACCCAGATATCACAATCACGTTCTAAATTTTGATCCCTGAAATCACGTTTAAATTCATAGACTGTCACGTGATTTTTCAACAAATATTTATTATAATTGCATGGATCAATCTGAAAAAGGTTTATTATAATTTTGGTTTGTGATTTAAATATAAGAGACTATTGTTTCCAAGTCGAAACTTGGGAGTTATTCATTATTCAAGAAATAATTATTGGTTAAAAGTTAAAAGGTTATTACAAGTACGTGAAATTTCTGCTACTCAATTAATTATGGACTATCCCTGAAATTTATAATGTTAAATCTGGTTTTGTTGCGGTATATCCCATATCTAATTGGGGCATTCAGGTTTAAAACATATGTATATTAATATTAAAATTAATGTATTAAGTTAAAAATAATCATTACTACAAATAAATTACAATCAAGCAATGGTTTTTTCTTTAAAATTATTATTGTGATAAGGTTTTGAAATCCGGCGAGCACTTTTAAAATGAAAAGAAAAAAAAATCAAACCATTGATATTAAAGTTGAGTTTGACAAGGCGGTTAATAAAAATAGGTTTGGTTCAACAGATATGTGCATAAATAGATAATTGTTGATTATATCATCAAATTACGAGTTAGGATAAAATGAGAATAATGTAAATTTAATTGTAAAAAAACACACACATAATAAGTCCTTGATGCCCCATTTGCGTGCTTGTGAAATTATTAAAATCCATGATGATGAAAATGATTTATTTAACACCGCACATACATTATTAACTTTTTTTGCAGATCTCTATTTGTCAATTAACAATGGCTTCATCTATCCAGTGAAATTGATTTCTTCTTTGCTGAAGGCACATATAAATTCTTTTAAATATCAAGTAAGAGTATACTTACCTACATTAAATAAACCATTAAAATAGAATAATAATTTTTTTCACGAGAATCAAATCTTATTGATGAAAATTCAATCAATCAAATCAAATAACGATGTGATGATAAATTGTTGTTAACGTATTTTATTATTAATAAATTTATCTTCAAATTCTTTTGGTATATGAAAGATTCTACATTTGTTCATAAATACTTTTAAACTTTTTTCACGCACAATTTCCTCGACTGTGGACTCATTATAAATCATCCTTCTCTGATGGTAACGGCGATATTGATATGTGTTAGAATTAGTTAAAATAAGAAGTTGAAATTACAATTTAGAAATTGGAAATATATATATATATATATATATATCCAGTAATCTCTCGCACCTTTATATCATCAACAATATTATTATCAATTGGAGCTTTGTTTCTTTTTTGCTCTAAATCATTATCTAAAATCTTCATTAAAATCACCAATAGTAATGTTTAGTTAGTTAATTAATAATCTTAATCAAATTTTCCTTCTCATATTTCAATACTCTTTACCTGCAAACATTGATTTATGACCTTTTCTCTTTTAGTATACGCGCCAGATAATTGTTTAAAAAACTCTGAACACGATTTCTCTGAATGTGTATTTGTAGAATTTAATCTTATCATAATGTTATCGTCTATTCTTCTATATTCCTTCATTAGATCTTTAAAAAAAATTTTTTAATATAAATGCTGTTGCCGTTGTTATTTCTAGTATATAAAAACTGTCATACCTTTAAAATACGTTAAATTGTAACATATATTATAATCAAACTCTTCTTCACTCATAATAACAATATAAACTCTTCAAAATTAAATAATTTTTTTTTTGGTTTTTAAACATAACTATTTATAATGTGTTAACATACATGAAAAAAAAAGTAAAGGATAATCTTAAAGTTTTTATTATTAGTGCTTTTTCAAGAAATTTTTTAATTTAGTTGAAATACGAGATATAAAAAAATAAAAAACCTACAATAACTTTTAATCTTGATAAAAAAAAAAATTAAGATCGTCTTATCAAAATTTACTTTCTTACAAAAAAACTGAAAATGGAAGATTTACCAGTGGAACTTTTAATTGAAACATTTAGATACCTAGAAGAAGATAAAAAATTATACCCTTGCATTCTTGTTAATAAAAAATGGCATAACATCAATATTCCAACTTTGTGGAGAAACCCATTTTATTCTGAAAACAGCACTAAAATATTAATTAATTGCTTATTGGCAGAAGACAAAGATTTATTAGTAGAAAAAAAATTTACATTAAGATTTGAATTATTGGCAAAACCACCACTATACAATTACGCCAGATTTGCAACTGAACTTGATCTTCGCCAATTTCGTAAATGTTTAGTAACGATAGTTAGTCCATACTATTGTTTAGTAGGAAGATTAACAGACTTTATTTTAGACCATTCAATTATCAGAGAGTTTAAAATTTACTATTCTAATTATCCAAGGATTTTTAATCCAAGGATTTTAGATCATCATAGATTCGATACTTGTTTTCAAAATATCGTTGAATTACATTGTGATATTAATAGTAATAATTCTGATTTATTAGATCATTTAGCAATTACATGTAGAAATATTCAAGTTTTAAGAATAGATTGTTCTGTATCAAATGACATTGTTGATTCTAATCTTGCTCATCTAATTTCAACACAGAATCAAATCAAAGCATTGTTGGTTTATAATTTATACAATTTTCCTACGAATTTTTCAGATGTTTTAAAAAATGCAATTTCTATTCATTCAAATTCAATAATTAATTATGAAAGTCATGGATGTGATAATCTATATTCTTTAATATCAACATTTCAAAATCTAAAATCATTATTATTATCATCTCATCCATTTCAAGGCAAATTAAATGTATTAAAAAATATTTCACATCTGAACCTTGAAGCTTTAAATGTGGAAATCATTGAACAATATTTTCTACTTGACTTGAAGGCCTTTATTGCACTCAACGGAAACAGTCTTAAATATTTGACAATTAGTGGTATACCAGAAGACAAATCCAATCTGGGCGAACTTACTAAATCAATTGGACGACAATGTATAAATTTAGAATATTTATCAATATGTTATAGGAATAAAGAAATCAGCCAATTAATTGAAATATTTAATAATTGCTTTAAGTTAAAACACATTTCATTTTCTAATATTTATTCAGATTATACATTAAATGGCATTAAAATGTTAATGGTTTTAAATAAATCATTATCAAAAAATCTGAACATATTAAAATTTGAAGATCAAGTTAATATTATTAGAAATGAATCCTTAAATCAGTTGATGAGGAATTGGAGAGGTCCTAAACCATTTAAAATACTTAAATTTTATAATGGTAGTTACGATGAAATTGTTTTTTAAAATATATACGTATTATAGGATCTTCAAAAAAAAAATTTTTTTTAAAATTATTGTTATTATTGGCTGAACAAATATATAAAATGAGAGTTTTTTTTAAGAAAAAAAATTTTTATGTAAATAAAAAAAATAAAAATAAATTTGTAAATAATAAATTTCCATTGAAACTGTTAATTGATATATCCAAATTTATTGAAGGAAATTATAAAACACTATGCTCTTGCATTCTTGTTAATAATCAATATTTTAACTTTATGGAGGAATCCATTCTAGTCTGAAAAAATCTTGATAATTGCTTACTGGTAGAAAAACCACAACTGAATTATAATTTTTAACATTTATTGAGAAGAACAATATTATCCAACTATCAGATAGTTTAAAACTGATTATTTCAAAGTAATAGGGGTTTGCTTGTTTTCAAAAACCTTATGAATCACATTGTGGTCTCTGTGTGATTTTGCCGAGTTCTGAGACTCTTATAATTTCACGGCTGTTTGGAACCCGAATCCGGTATCATATATTACCCGCTTTTTAATCATTGATCAATCCACGAATGCCTTCTGCTATGTAATAACACAGAAGAGCATCTTGTTTGAACCTAAATTACATCATATATTTTTCAAAATTAATCACTCCACAATACTTTCTGCTCGTCATAATCATGCAAGAGAGGTCAGAATTTTAAACAATACAAGTATAAAGAAGGTGAGTAATCAGAAAAAATGTCATGCATGACTGCGTACATCATCACACAGGCAGTAAATAATATCAGAAAAATGGCTAGATGGCCACGACGCATTGGAGTCTGGAGATATAGTAGAGGCCGAAGGAAGACGAGCACTAGCAGTGTTATGGTCGACTGACAAAATTTCATTGCTAGGAAGCGATAATTTAGGCTTAATAGATCCAGAACAAGGAGATTCCCAAGTCAAAGTATCCAAAATCAAATCACATATGAACGACAAGTACGCAAAACAGAAAGTGAAAAGGTACCAGATTATTATTATTCCTTTTATAATGAGCTAAATAAAACTGATTACAGCTCGGAAAGCAAATATTATGACTTATCAAAATTTTACCATGTAAAAAATAATCTAGGTCAAAGCTAAATGCTTTAATGTGATGAAATTTTTACTTTCGTAAAGGGTAATAAAATCGCCAAAATGGCCCTTGGTGAGAAACTTTAATCAATACTTTACATGTCAATGACGATCTCACGTTTTCAGAGAAAAGGCTCAACACATGGTAGCCCTTCAATAGAAACAGGGGAAACTCTAAAAATAGATTTTTGAGAAATTGAAAAAAAAGATCTGCATTTCAAAGAATTGCTATATAGCGTTTTTGATACTTTAAAGGAAAAAATCTCAAATTTTTGCTATGTAAGGTGGGTATGGTTTCTAATCCAAAAATGTTCTACATAAAGAGTTACACGTAGAAGCGGTATTAACTCAAAATTTCTTTTTCCAGAATTTCCCTTGTTTTTATTAAAAAGCCCTCCCGTTATAGTCTTGAAGAGATCTGGATCTTATACTTAATTCAGAAGTGTGCCTCTTAACAGTGAAGAATTACTGACGGCCGTAGAATGGGATAAACGAAAGTTGTGAAAGTCATGAACAATTTTATTCAGACGAATAATATTGTTTACGCCAAAAATTTTACTGTTCTGATAATATATTTTGAGTATTAAAACCTTTATTTTTAAAAAATAGTAAATATAATGAATAAGTCTAAAAGTAATCACAATATTTTTTGTTTTAATGATTTTAATCGAGAATTTTATCTGGTATAAATAATTCAATCTGTTGGGAATCTATAAATATGAATTATTTATTATAGAAATGAATGTAAATATAATGTTATATTTAAACTTTTAAACTTTAAAAATTAATAAAAAAAAAATAATCAATAATTAATAATTACCGGTATTACTATTATTACTATTATTACTATTATAATTATAGGAATTCACAGGCTCAGGAAGATTTGTAAATCTTAATAGTCTGCTAGTGTAAACAGCACTCGGATGTATAGTTGCTTCATTTGTTGTTGAAGGAACATCTTCCATCTTATCCATTTTTTCGAATATTTCTTTGAATGTTTCTTCAGTTGATTCCATTTCATAAAGCTGTGAAGGTTTATCGTTAAATGAATCATACCAACTAAAAATAATCTTAAAAATTTCATCGGCAGTTGGACGTTTCTCTGGATCAGCATCCATGCACTTATATGCCAATTCAATATAAATTTTTGGGGTATTTTTTGAGAAACCCGGTCTCAATCCTTCACAAATCTTCATTGCAAGATCTGAATCATGTGGTATATTAATGAAAGGTTGTCGACCTGTTGACACTAAAGTCATTAATATTCCAAAACTGTATATGTCTGCTGCCATTGTGTATGGTCTAGATTTCAGAACTTCTGGCGCTACGTATGGTAATACTCCAAAAACATTACTTTCGTTTGATGCTAATGCTTGATCAGCTGGAATTGATAATCCCAAATCTGCGATATATGAATTAAAGTAACTTTTTAAAATATTGCCACTATGAAGATCTCGATGAACAATCTTTTGTTCATGAATTTTTACCAAACCCTCAATAATTTCTTTAAGAATTAAAATTTTTTCTTCCCATTTTATACTTTCAAATTTGTTTGATAAATAATTGTGAAGACTTCCATCTTTTTTATATTCCATTACAAATATATATTCATTTGTCTTTGGATCTCTCGTTAGTCCAAAAATGTGAATTATACCTTCTTTACCTTCAAATTTAACATAATTTTGGAACTAAAAAGGAAACAAATACTTTAATTTCAACAATAAAAATCAAAAAAAAATTTTTAAAAAAAATCTGAAAATAATAATAATAAATAATTAACCTCGTTAAGAAATTCGTTAGAAATATCTTGAGAGTCATGTAATTTTTTTAACGCCACGATTAAGTTACCACTCGTTCTTTCATTATTAGCTGTAAATTTATCACCATTTATCCAATTAGCCTTGTATATAGTTGCAAAACCGCCCTCACCTATCTGTTCAATATCTTTCAAATTATCATAAGGAACCCATTGAAGGTAATAACGAATATCATACTCAGTTGCTTTAAGTTGTGTATTTTTAATCAACTTGTCTAATGTCTCGTTACCACTAGTCCATCCTTCGGTTAATAGTTTTGGATCGCATGATTGACACCATGAATAATTAGTATTATATCTTTTGCAAGTTTTGCATTTCCCGTATTTTTCCTCTCTTTTATTTGAATGTTCATCATCATTGTCATAGTGTCTATCTTGATCTAAAGTTTTTTCCATCTTTATATTTTTTTTGTTTTTTTTTTTTTTTAAATTTATAACAGTATGGACCCAAATTTATTTATTTTTACAAATAAATAATATGTAACGTAATTTACAGAATGTAAAAACGAAATGCAAATTAACTTTTCCATAATGCTACAGTGCAGATCGTCTATACTCAAAAGTTGCTTATAATATAAGTTGAACAACTTTTAAAATACCAAACCAAAAAAAATTTTATAACATTTCGAAAATGTTAACTAATAAGTTTATAGTTTACGGCTCTCTAGCTACAAAACATTCTGAATTTATTTCATATTGTTATATTGTTTTTTCTTAATAAAATGACGAAGTTTTCCATTATTTTATTTTTTTATAATGTAAAATGATCAACATATTGTATTGGTGGCTCGTACCATACCTACCTCGGCTAGACGTACTGAAAAATGATTAACTTCCGGCCTACTTAATTAAGCGTGATAGGTCCAAAAAATAACCTTTATCGTGCCTGCAGGATTTCCGAAATCACGTTACTTTAGAAAAAATATTTAATTGAAGCCTGCCCAATAAAAATTTTTTGTTTTTCTTTAAGATAATCTATATAAAGATAATCTAAGTTTTTCAATGCTCTGTGTAACTTTCTATAACAGGGAATCCCTTTCGTTGATCATTTTTTCATTTCAACAAAATAGTATGATGCATAGTTGGGTTTCTCTCATTGGTTGTTTATCGTGGCTGTTAAAAAACGTAATAAAAATACCAAATTTGGAAGTATTTCCATGATCAGCCAATCACAATGCGGATCAAGAACACTTTATACTTTTCAGAACCGAAAATAGTTTTTTTTGATTGGATAAGTCAAATTGCTTAGCCACAAATGTGATCGACCAAAGAATTACCATTTATCAAAAATTTTTAATTCTTATGATTGATTATGCATTCTAATCATTTCTCTACCTAAAATACATTTTGCATTTCATAAGATAACATTAATGGCATGCAAGAAAAATGGAAAGATAAGGAATTTGCAGGTCACCTTATAAAACATAATATTAAGAAAAAAAACTTACAAATGTAAGGAGAATTGTATAATAAAATCACATTCAGTAATGTAAATTTTAAAGTGTTCTGCAAAATCCATTATCTTTATTATTAATTTATAAGGTAGATGATGTTTATTAGAATTTTCATTTCCTTATCATCTACTAATTTTATCTATTTCCGTATTACATATACACCCTCTGGCCTTACATATATTATTTTCAAAATATTTAATAACCCAATTTTCTGACCAAGCATTTGTTTAATTTTATTTGTCTCGCCATTCCTTTAACACATGTCTAAAATATTAATAAATTTTTTCCATCTCAACCTCTATTGATTTTATAACAACTTCAAAAACCAACATATATTTATTTCTTGCTTAAATTGTTTTAACAAAATTCAAGAATTAATATACTTTTGTCTAAATCAAATGTGCTGCTGCTTCATGTCTTTATAAACCATTAGTATTTTTTTACACTTTAAAACATTTGATCCTAGTAAACTATAGTTGCCAGATATGAGCAAAAGCGGTTGAGAAACATAATAATAAATTTTTTGAATGACAACCTCTGTAAAATATATCACAATTGAAACAGATCAATTTCATATTTTCATTACCTTTTAGATTCATTCTTCACACTAAGGAATGATCTTAACATCTAACATCATTGAAAACAGTGTTTTCTTGTTCTAGCTATCTGATAATGCTTGCCGTTTTACTTGTGCCTGTTCTATTTCTTTTCCTTGCTTTTTTTTTTTGTTTGAGCAATTACCTTCTTAGAAAATCTTTCATAGTAGCTGAAATTAATTTTAATAGTGGCCAAATTATATCAAAATTATTTGAATTCTTGACTCAATAGCCAAAATTCTGGATGGTTTTTTTATGTCCATTAATATAGAGAATATGGAAAAGCCAAATGTTGCCAAATATTTGGGCAAATGCAAAAACAATTTGGCTAACATGTATGCTTATTATAATTAAATTTATTTCAGAAACTGAATAAATTATTTTCCGATTGTAATCTTTAATAATGGATTTGAAGTTTTTTTTGTGATCTTCTTATATTGTTATTTGACATACATTTCTTTTTAATAAATAAATAAATAAGAGGAAACTTTTAAAGAACAAGTTCTGAATTTTCCCCCTCCTAATTATGGTGGTGGTGGGTTTACCGTTATTTTGATAATATAATTTGTTTATGAGGAGGATAATGAAATAATTAAAGAAAAACAGTAAATGTTTCATTTATTTTTTTTTTTGTTTATAATTACTATATAAAATAGATAATAGTTTTACGTTTGAATAATTAGGTCTTCCGAATAATATTTCATTTGGATTAAGTATTTTAATGGTTAAAAACCTTTCTCCTTTTATGCTGAATGGATTCCATTGCTAACGTGAAATATTTTGTATTATTTCTTGTTCTAGTCTTATATTTAAATCAATAAAAAAAAAAAAAGAAAACGGACACTAATTTTCCAAGAAAGGATTTTATGTATATATTTCATGGAAACGCATCTATTGTTATTGTGATTACTATTTCAGTTAAACCAATAATGCATATCGTATCTTCAAATGATACGATCCTACGGATAAAGTTGATTTTAAATATTACAGTGCAAATTAATGATTATAACATTCAAATTAAAAGAAATGTATTTATTTTTCATGTGGCGGAAGATTATTTACTATTTGCCTGAATTATAAAATAATTCAGAACGAACTATTTCCGAATTGATAGAAAGAAATTAGGCAATAATATTCCAATTTGGATAAATAATGATATTTTTAGAATTTCTTGGATCAAAACTTCCGTGTCAGTTGATTGGATTATGGCTCTTGAATCTGATCTTGGACCCGACCTAGAATTAATTTGGCCGAGTATTTTTAACCTATCAAAAGCTTTGGACAATACTTCGCCATTAAACTGCATAGAATAAAATTCTAGTACGATCATGATGTTATAAAAACCTTTAGACAAAAATGGCTTCGAATTATAGCGCTATCCTGATATCTTCCTTTTCCGTGAAAGCAAAACACCCACACATATGTTATGTATTCGTTGTTCTTTCTAGTATATCGTTATAATATAAGTTATGAAAATAATACTAAATGTTTGTATTAGTAATAAAGGCTTCATGCTATCAAAAATTAAAGAAAAATTTACGCGTACCTTTGATATTGAAATTATCAGCATGCACTGTATTATCTTTAAGCGTGTTCTTTAAGGAATCCAAAATAGTCTGTAATGATTATATAGTAACTTTATAATTATTCTGCCGTCAAAATTATTTTAAAAATAAAAATATTTACACAATTTTGAAATTGGTCAAGATATTTCTCAACGTCATCATCAACATTTATAATGAGTTTATCAACTCCATGTTCTTTACGATCATTGAAAAACCCCTTATTTCAGACCATCATTTTCAATTTGTTGTTGAATGTATGTGATGGTAGATATTTTAAGCATAATATATCGTTGAAATTTTATGACTCCAATGTGTAATGACCTATTTTAAAGAAATGAAATATAAAGATATAAAGTTTGAATATGATAATATATATATTTAAGGTATATATATAGATAAATGACTCACGTTTTTAATCCTCGTCATTATCATTTAAAGAAGAAAAACCAATATTATGACCATTCCATAACCAACTTAGAGTAACGATATGCAAACTAGATAGAATTTCCTTTTTAATATATTTACGTAAAATCTTCGGCTTTCAGAAAGAATCCAATAATTGGCCATTAAAATCAAAATAATTTATATTCGCAAAAAGAGAATTTTATAGATAATATAATTTATTTAATGCCTACTTTATTTTCCTTTTCAATTTTTTTCTACACATAAAAAAAAAATAAATAATTAAAGGATTTGGTATTTAAACTGAACGCAGAATCTTCATCCATTCCTAATTAGAATAACGAGTTGCGGTAAAAGCAGTCATACTGTAAAAACACTTACTCGTTTAATCTCCCGATTTATTATCTTTACTTTTTTTCTTCAAATTTCTTAACAAAATATTTATTTTCATTATATAGCACGTAGTCAGGGACGATGATTTTTAAAAGACAAATTTTGCCAATAAATTAGACGCGCATACAAAATGAAAAAAAAACGCCAAAATAGTTTTTCATAATAGCAGAATTAATTTTAATAATGGCCAAAATTATATTCAACATTCTTTGACTGATAACAAATTCTGGGTGGTTTTTTTATGCCTATTAATATAGAGAATATGGAAAAGCCAAAATGTTGCCAAAATATTTAGCAAATGCACTGTAATAATAAATTTTTAAGAATTTTATTTCATAAAATCTGGCAATTAGTAGTTTTGTTATTAAATTATGAATTCATGAGCAACTTTATTGAATGTATATAAATGGTAATTTTAGAAAAAGTTGGGGCAAATGTAACAAATATGAAATTTTGTGTCCATTATGATGCCCTTTTTACTTACTAATGTCATTTTAAAAAACTTGATGGAGTTGCCTACAAAAAATACCAGATTGATTTCTAAGTTAAAATATGCCATTGCGGATATTTTTTGCGGATAACTACATGTTAACATTATTATTATGCTTTATTTGAACAAATTGTGTTTATTTTACTTGTTGTATTTTAATGAATTTCTAAGTTTAGTTTTAGCATTCACACCTACAAATACAGTTTGGGGGCATAATACTGCTCTTGCTGATTCTAAAATATACTTTACAGGTGGAGTGATTCCAAATCAAACAATTTGGAAGACTGTCAACAATTTCTTTAATACACCAAATGAACTTGCCACACAATCTAAAGAATTCTATTATTTAGATGTATCAAAAAATTTTAAATTAAACGAGGGTGTAATGCCTTGGACGGATCTTAGTATTGTATCAGAAATTCTTCCACCACATTCCTGGAGTGCATTTTCATTTTGTGGACCTGATACTTTAGTAATGTTTGGTGGAGATTTTGGTAAAGCAAATCCCATAAATTTAGTTTTTATTTATAATATAAAAACACAGAAATGGAGCAATCCAACAACTTTCAATCAACCTAATGATGTACATACTCGTGCTGCTTGCGACACGAAGGCTGGAGTAATGTATATGTTTTCTTCAGTTATAAATATTTTGGATACAAAAACATTAACATGGAAAGTTGGTAGTTCAATTAATATCCCACCAGGAAGATTTGATTATACTGCTACTTTATTACCAAATGGTAACATTGTTTATATAGGAGGCGTTTCAGGTGAAGTGGTAGATTTGTTAAAGGTAATAATGAAATAAACCATGATAAATGATAATATAGATAAAATAATGTGACTATTTCTTTTTTTAGTTACCTTTGTATAATATAAATGATGATACATGGTCTTCAATGGTAGGTTTTGTTATTGAAAAATTTAACTGATATAAGTTTTACAAGATTTAATTTATTATTATTGTTATTTATTTTAGACTACTGCTGGTTATTTGCCTACACCTCGAGGTCATCATTCTTCTGTTTTAGGTAATAAAATCATTTGTTTTTTATAAATATATAAATAAATTTATATTAAGAAATTTATATATATTAATATAGCGAAGGATGGTCGCATTATTGTATATGGAGGTTATATTGACCGAGGAACATTAATTCCAGTTTCAGATGATCTTGTAATATTAGATACAACAAGTTCTCCTTTTACCTGGTCAAAAGCAAACGTTTCTACCATTTCACCACTTTCACGTACATATCATTCAGCTACTTTAGTTAATGAATATATGATTGTAGCTTTTGGAAGAAATGATATTTATCTGCCATCACTTGGAATGAATGAAATATATATTTTGGATATAAGTGATAAATTTAATTACAAGTGGGTTAATGAATTTAATATTAATCCTGTTATTACAGCACCAACTAATCCCCAAGATACTTCAATTGAGACTACAAATACTGATACTGGGACAGATTATAATAATACAACAAATGTTGGCTTAATAATAGCAACTGTAATTTCAACAACTTTACTTATTTTAGGAATAAGTTTATTAATTTTTTATTATAAAAAAAAACAAAAACAAAATCGTAATACTTTATTTATACCTGGTAATGACAGAATTTAAATTCTTACTTTGCAATTATATTTTAATAATTTTTATTTAAAATTAAGTATTGGTTAAAAGAAATCAATAAATTAAATTGTTATTATCTTAATGCAATTTAAGTTTGACCTTTAATACACGTAATTTTAAAATAAATTTTATTTGAGGTGGCAGGGGAGGTATGATTGTATGGGAGATGATGATATTTCGTAATTGTTAACTCATCCCAAATACGAACTTGTGGTGGGGGAGCATGATTATAAAATACACGAAGCAAAAATCGACTTTAATACTCCTAAACTTACAATTTATGGCATGACTGTTCCGATGGTAAATTCAGTAAATATCTATACAGTTATTCTGGATCAGACTAATTTCAATGCATTTTCTTCCAGCGAAACCTATCATCTGATTCCTGGCCTATGACCGGTGAAGAAGGGTTGCCACATAAAATAGTCCAGGATTGCCAAAGGTTGCGAAAACATCCAAAGCCAGCCCGAGTTAACTTTTCAAGAACCCTTTCCAGCACATATAAAGTTAATTAGAGTTAAATGTCAAAAGTTGGCCGTGTTGTATCAGCTAAAAATCAGGAATGAGTTTTCTAAATATAACTGTCTCATTATGTAAAGATATGATGGCTGTTATTATTTTTTTTAACCACAAAAGATAACTATATTAGATAAGCTTAGGTTTCTATTCGAATTATTTGTTTTATCGTTATGAATTTAAGTAATCGAAATACATTGAAAGTTTATTCGAATAATACGAATAAAACGAATGAAGCGAATAAAATGAATAAAACGAATAAAGTAAATGAATAAACGAATATTCTAATAAAATGAATAATTCGAATAAACAAACAATTCAAATAAAACGAATAACTTGAATAAACGAATAATTGTGTTAGAGATGTGCCGCGCATAGTGTTCTACGCACAATGGGTTTAAAATATATTTTTTATAGACATTTACTTATTAATAAACATTTCTAAAAAAAAATTAAATATGCCATTTATTTTCTTATTATATGCTCATTTATGATATTTCCCTCCCTATGATATACATACACTATGCGCGAAAAAAATCACGGTTAAATTGAATAGAACGGATAATTCGAATAAAGAAATAATTCGAATAAAAGAGCAATTTGAATAATTCGAATAAACGAATAATTCGAAAGCGAACAATAATAATTCAAATAAGTACAATTCGAATAATATTAATATTAAGGTTTGAGTTGTATAGTACAGGACACCTAGTCCCACAACTTTTTATTGGTCTTGTATATCCTTTAGTATACCAGAAATGGAAATGTAACACCAAAAAAACAAAACATGATTTTGAAGCTAAGACCTTTCTCCACAAAGCTACGATTTCATTTTGTTGATATGTCACATTACCATGGAGAGATCAAGCCTCAAAGTTGCACAAGTTTACTATGTTAAGCCGAAACAAAATAAAGTTTTTGAATTTTTAGTTGATGATCACAGCCATATTAGGTAACCCAATGTTTATTCTTATTGCCGATTTTACTATTTATGGAATGACTAAGAAATATCACATGACAAAACAATTTTTATTGGAAATTTTTTCCCAAAATTCATCATCATGGCACAATAAGTTGTGGGATTAGGTATCCTGCACTGTAACAATATTAATAAAAAATAATGAATAAAAAATAAAAATATTATTTTTAAATTGCAACATTGGTTTAGGATGGTCAAACATCCAACATAGTTGGATGTGAATCCTTTATAAAATGTATGTATGTATACACAAGTCATAATAAATAGCTTTGCATTGGGTGGTAATTAATAATCGATCAATATGAAGCAGAATG